AGAAGAAGGAATTATATATTTATATTGATTATCAAAATTAATTAAAAAGACATTATTCCAGAACGTTGGTTTTGAAAAACGTTTTTTCTCTCGATTGAAGAATAAAGAAAATCTTCGTCCCTTCATATGAAAACCTTTGCCTTCCTCCTTCCTTACTGAAACATATCTCTGCATCAGGGTCGAGACAAGCGTGTAACCCTTTCGGTAACCTGTAGCTGAAGTGCAAACACAGATAAAGAATTTGTAATGTTGGTTTTCAAGTTAAATAGGCCCTATTAACATGGCGAAACACTATGTGCATACACCACTGTGTAAATTGTATACCTGTAAAAGTTGAGGCACGCGCACGCGCACACATTGACGAACACACACACGCACATACACACATACACACACACACAAAATATATATATATATATATATATATATATATATATATATATATATATGGTAAAATATATAGTTTTAAGGTGTGATATTTATGGTTTAAAAGTGCTCCATATCAGGGATAGAGCGTATAGAAATATAAAAGTGGACATTGATGTCAACACCCAAAGGCGACAGTCGGTTTTATGCTAAACGCAATTATCAGACGATTGCGTTTAGCATGAAATAGACTGTCACTTCTATATCTACTTTCATATATATATATATATATATATATATATATATATATATATATATATATATATGTTTAAGAGCCATCTGTAAATTATAATCATCTGTAAAAGTGACATCTATAAATAATACAATGTATGTGTGTGTGTATGAATGAATAAAATGACAAGAGGAAAAACTATTCTTAGACGACGCGTTTCGACTTCTGGGGGACTTCATCAAGGCAAAATTAAGGATTTTATTTCGTTACAAGTGCAAGGTTATCATTGGTTTATCAAGGCTTTTAAGTTTGAGAACGTTCATGAATACTCATAAGGTGGTTGAAAGGCCAATCAAAACATGTGGAGCGCACAAAGTACCATAATTCAAAGTCTGGTAAGGTAAAAATAGGCGGATAATATGTACATCCCGGTGACGATGTTAAATTTTATTTGGGTTACACTGAAAATCTTTGGAAATTTCGTTTTACCCATCATCGAATCACCTTTGGTAATAAAAAATACACAAACAGTACTGCTCTCTCCAAATATTTCAAGCAATTAAAGAATGATGACATCACACCATCAATCAACTGCATATTTTAGAGATAAATTTTCTAACGGTAAAGGAAATAAATGTAACTTATGTCTTGTTGAAAAATTGGTTATCTTAAAACACTGAAATAAACCTACTTTATTAAACAAGAGAAATGAATTGATGGTTACATGTAGGCATAAAAATAAATATCTGCTTCAATACGTTTACCGAAAATGATTTTTATGTAAATTACGGTTTATTTTTAATGTAAATTACTATTTATTGTGAATATAGATTTATGCTTTTTTTTAGAAATCAGAACAAGTAATCACCTTTTAATTAGAAATAAATTAAAATTTTTAAAAATTAATATTCACAACTCAAAAATAAAGAATTAAATTTTTTTTAATTTTCTTTTTTCCTTTTTCTTACATACATATATAAATACTGCTTAGCTTAATTGCCAAATATAATATTTAAAATTAATAAAAACTGTAATTCCAGCATAATATATAACTACGCCAACATTGTGATAATCAGATAAATTCAAATTCAAATTGTGTAACGGTTAGTCTGTACTCAGCACCTGAAGATTGCGTTGTGCATGAAACTCCGAGTCATGCTAGCGGCGAGGGATAATATGTATCTTTTTTAATGTTGATTAATTTGGGAAGCAAATTTCTTTCAAGCATCTCTCATTGAAAACGGCCGAAAAGGAATATTTAATTAATCTTTTATTGAGTTTTTCCAGCATTCTAACATTTTTCCGTTTTTCAGAGGTTAAAGAATATAGAAATTGCCCATAGTTGTTATTATTCCGAGCGCTTTCGGCTAATTCTATAGCCATTATCAAGGATGTTATTTTTGGATGGTGAATTTTCGTGTTAACTTCATACTTTTTTTAGCTGTTTGGGGTACTTGCGGGGGAGTGTATGCTTTTCTCCGCGGTCACGTGCTATGCGCGACAGGTTGTCCTGGACATCACTTCTATTTTTAGAAAAGTTTTAACACGCCGACACTATTGCTATACATTTTCTCTCACGGTATATATATATATATATATATATATATATATATATATATATATATATGTGTGTGTGTGTGTGTGTGTGTGTGTGTGTGTGTGTTTACGACACGGAGATCACATTGGTTCTTGAAAATGACTGAGACGGCCGAATGTACTTAAAACAAAAACAGCACAACAGAAACTTCGATTAGTTTATTCATAATTCCTGTCATAATTTTACTAAAAAATGTGGAAAAATACTATAAAATAGACATTAGTGAGGATGAATAGTTACTGACAAATATATCTATCTCACTCTACATGTCAGTTTTCATTGAAAAATACATCCCTACCCCTTACCAAAATGTAGCTAATAACCGATACAATGATGCAGACATAAGGAAAACCCAGAAACCCCTTGTCTAGTTGAAGTAGATCTATCTGTAACCATGGAAACGTGATTTTAGCTGTGTCTTTAAAACCCAGTAATTTTAAAAGTTACTCCAAAATTCGCTTGAGGATGAAATGGAACTAATGTCTTTAATTTAATTGCAAAATTAAATTCGTGGCTTTTAGCTTCCATTTTTGAAACACGGTTAGAATTGTGTAGCGGAAAAACATATTTTAAATCAATTAATTTATAATATCAATGCTCTGTAAATTTACATCGAGCACTATTTTGTAAAAATAAAAATACATATAAAAACACCGGGTTATATATCTTACTGTTCTTTTTATATATATATATATATATATATATGAACGTTAGTTTTAGTGGCTGGACGCGTTTGAGTTGCTATCCCTGTATTTTATTATATTTACCCCAGGGAAACCATTTTGTTAAACCAAAGTATGCCACTACTACTTTGGTTACGGTGTCAGACTGACAGGACAAAAGAGAGAGGTAAAAACGGGATGATGGTTCGATTCCTGTCAGAGGTACAATTAATATTAAGTATGACTTCTCAATTTAGGCCAGTTTTTATTAATTTCACTATTTTTTTTTAAGCATTTCATCCCAAGCAAGGCGGGGAGTGCCACGAGCGCGCAAAGGGTTACAGAGAATGAAAGAATAAAGAATGGTGTCTGAGGAATGGATATAGTACGGGGATCAAGATAAAGGCATCAGAAGATGTCGATTGACATATTATTTAAAGTTTTGAAGCTTATAGTCGTTAGGGAAGCAAGTAAGAGGAAGGGCGTTCCACTGTCGGGAAGTGCGAAAGAAGAAGCTGTTGGAGTAGAAGAGGCGGTTACATTTAACAGTTTCGACAGTAAAAGGGTGGGACAGAGATGCCAACCTAGTAGCACGCTTAAATTCATGCAGTCAGGGCACTAGTGAAAATAGCTCGTCAGAGCAGATGCCATGAAAATATTTGTAGAAAATCCAGACAGGAGTCATATCACGTCTGTGAGAAAGTGACTGGAGTCGAAATGCCAGGTCAGGACCTATCACATTTAATAAAATAAGTAAACAGAGATAGCAACTCAAACACGTGTAGCCATTAAGAAAAATATCGGATATAAATTCCTTAATATATATATATATATATATATATATATATATGTGTGTGTGTGTGTGTGTGTATGTGTGTGTGTGTGTGTATGTATTAGGTGGATTTGAACAATAATTTTCTATTTATTTCGTTCATACAAGTTTGGTGAAAGAGCAACGAAAAATCTTTTTATAATGATTTATGTTTTTGTTGTAACCTAGAAAGGGTTACTGAACGAGGAATAACCAAAACGGAGGTTGGAAATGAAATAGTAATCTTTATAACATCAACAAAATACAATACTCGCCAGCGGTGTGAAGTAGGTAAACCACTGCTAGCGGTGGATTAATTAGACAGCAGATTACCCGCCCCTTACAATAGTGTCCAATGTATTTATGAGGATTGGGACACACCCATTAGTGTTCATAGGTATATAACAATTATGTACTTTTTCTACATTTCGACTCATTTCTTTGTTTCAAGTGAATATTTAAATATAAACTGTTCAATATATTTGATAATGGCTAACGATTGACAAAAGTAATCCGATGTAAAGTTCAAACTGCAATATCTATGTGTGTGTGTTTGTATGTGTCTGTAACAACATGATATATATATATATATATATATATATATATATATATATATGTGTGTGTGTGTGTGTTTCATGTCGTTACACATACGCTATATATATATATGTATATGTATATATATATATATATATATATATGTGTGTGTGTGTGTGTTTCATGTCGTTACACATACGCTATATATATATGTATATGTATATATATATGTATATATATATATATGTGTGTGTTTTCATGTCGTTAAACATACGCTATATATATATATGTATATGTATATATATATATATATATATATATATATATGTTTGTGTCGTTATCGTTATATATATATATATATATATATATATATATATATATATATGTATATATATATATATATATATATATATATATATATATATATATATATATATATATATGTGTGTGTGTGTGTGTGTGTATACAATGTGAAAAGGCACATACACTCATACATATATATATATAATGGTACAGGTATAAATAGAATGAAAACGACAAGCAGATAGATATATTTATAGTTAAAAAAGAGAGTGAGACAGATATAGCTAGTTAACAAACAACAAAATGAGGTAGATAGAAACAGAAAAAGATAGGAGAATAGAGAAAGAGATGGGTATATATATATATATATATATATATATATATATATATATAGAGAGAGAGAGAGAGAGAGAGAGAGGAAACAGCATGATAGACACAGAACAAATTGATATATGTGTATATATGGATAACAAAAGATAGATAACAACAACATTTTTAAAGTGAGATGTAAGCAGAAATAAATATATAGATATGAACTGAGATAATAGATAGATAGATAGATAGATAGATAGATAGATAGATAGATAGATAGATAGATAGATTGGAAGTGGACAAAGGCTATCGAAGCAAATTTATGATAACGAACTGTCGGTATAAAGAGAAACCAGAAAGGGCGAGGGAGGCACTATTAAATAAAAACATGGAAACCAAAGTCGGTGAAGGCAAAAAAAAAAAAATGGTGAGGTAAAAGAGAAAGCGTCATGAAGAAGTGAGAGAGGGGGAAAGAAACCAATAGAGTGTAACGAGGGAGTGGGTAGCCGAGTATCAACGCGGGAAGTGGAGGCAGTCAAATCGATGATGGATTGACAAGGTTTGAAGTAAAAGGTCAAAATATGTATCAGGATCTGATGTCGCTGCCGTGTCGACTGTAAGGGAGGAGGAGGTAGAGGGGGGAGATCGAGTCGAGCAAAGCAGCAGCAGCTCGAATGCTGATAAGGTAGGGTAGGTGGGTGCGGAACGATGACGTCACTCGCACTCTAGCGTAGCAGTAGCAGCTGCCAGTTGGGAAGAGATGCTCGATATTTTTTTTTGTTCTCTGTTCTCTTTTCTTTACCTTTCTTTATTTCTTTTTAAATCTTATCTTCCTTGGATTATTTTTTCGGTCGTACATTCAGAACGGTTAGTAGTAGAGAGCATGGATTCTTTGTACTTATGGCCGTATATCTATGGATTTGCAGGGAGAATGACGAAAATATTAAGAGTATTGCTCAAGAGTGAAAAATTAAAAAAATAAAATAAAATAAAAAAACAAACATAAAAAAGACAAGCATCTTTTCTGTCAATTTACCCCAAATAATGTTATTGTTAAGTTACTTATCGCAAATATTAATTCGCCCCAAGAAATTATAAATTTTAAATCAAAGTTTGTTTTTGTCTTTGGCACTCTTTTGAGATTATAAATTTTAAATCAAAATTTATTCATCTTCGCAACAACTTCAAATCTCAATGAAAAAATTACCAAAAATCAGAGAGTTGATTATATTTTTAAGCGCGAATAATATTCGAGGTACTTACACATATTTTTTATAATTAAAAAAAGAAGGAAAAAAAATCTGTTTTTGGAATTTTTTTTATCGAGGTGAGCACGAATATAGATCCCCACAGAAATAGAGCACCCGAGTCGCCCACTTTTGGGGAGATCGCAAAGATCGACCTCTCTGGTGTGTAATGGAAGGACCTCTACCTGTCATAATTTTGGTGTGATTTTTATTTTGGTGTGAATTAACAAAAAAAGATCTCATACCTATACAAACATTGTAAATCTTCCATTTTACCCACCTAATAATATCAAGAGCTATACGATTCCAGAAAGCTAAACGGCCCAAATCTGTACTCTCAGAAAAAAAAAATGATTAAAATTAAATGGTTTATTCTTGGAGAGCATAGTTATAGAAATTCTAGTGTCTAGCGTAAATGTTATTGAAGTGGAAAGCGGCATCATGTAGCTGAGTTTAAACCCGCGTCTAGTGTCTCGTTTTCAATTTAGCAGTTACAAAAGGCATAGATTCTCTTCCTTCCCCAGCTATAGGTTAAATAGCAGTATAGAATCACTTAACTAGTTTGAATGGATGTAATGGATGGTACTATCCAATGTGGCGTGCACAATGCGATTTATATTTGACGTAAAATAGCACATAGTATAAAATACAAGACAGAATGTAATGATTCAAAACATAATTGAATTTATTAGTGTTTGGGTGTACATGCATATAAGCTGAAGGTTTGATAGAGTTATTTCTCTTAGATTTGGAAATATTTGTACCTGAGCTCATAAAGATGAAGTAATTATTAAACTATAGTTTAGAAGAATAAGTTCCTTTAGCATGTAAGGAATTGTGGATTGGTAAAGTTGGTAACAGTTCAGAAGAGATTTTAGAGTTCGTACTTGCGTGAAATGGCAATGTTCTTTAACGTCTGACCGCAAGGTTAAGACGGGAGCTCTTGAAGATTACATCTTGGCTTCAAGGAGAAAGATGAATGAAGAGAAACACAAGGGAGCTTATTCGTGTTTTGTTTATATAAGGCTGGTTATCACGTGATCGGCTAATCCTTAGTGATCGGGAAATTATATTACTCGCGTGCAGGATATCTGATTGGTCGGAATTGACCAATCAGCGAGCTAGTTTTGAGGAGATCAACCGATGAATGCTTGTCGCATGATTTCTATGTAGTGTGTATGTAATGGTGGTGGTAGTTACCACATGGGAACCAGTGTAGATGAAAGTCTACTCCAGAATTCTAACCCGTGCTGAGTGCAATGGGAAACTCTTCCACTATCTTTTGCAAGAAATAGCTAAATGCAACCGCCACTTCTACACCAATAACTTTTTTCTCGCACTTTCGGCCTGTGGAACTCCCTTCCGTTTATTTTCTTCCCTGGTAGCTACAATCTTCAAACATTTAAATGCAATGTTAGTCACCATCTTCTAATGTCTTGAACCCCATTATCCTTTCCTCATTCTCCCTATACACAGTTTTTTCTCTTACCTTCAGTCTGTGTCCCCCCCCCCTGCAAAACAGTGGCCCCTCCCGCCTAGCTTGGGGTAAAATGCTTAAAAAATGAAGAAAAAATCATGGTAATTTATAGATATTAAAGTAAAGGTAATCGGTGAAGATCGCAGGCAAGAAGACAAATTGCATGATATTTACATTATTCGGACTATTGTCCTCATCTTTGTTGCCATATTTATCACAACGTTTCGGCCCTTGTACACTCCGGCCTTCTTCAGGTAATTGGTATATGGAACTGAACCTTTTATTTCGCTCACTGGGGTAGACTGTTCTAGTTCCATGTGCCATTTCTAATGGATGTCAGTTATCAGTTATCTCTTGTTACTTTCCCTCTCCAAGTTCTCCACCGCCTTAACCAGGGATTGAATTCACACTCTTTGGTCCTGTTACTGGATTTAACTAACGCCTTTACCCACTGTGCCATGTATCCTTGAGGAAACGTTGTGATAAATATGGCAACAAAGATGCAGACAATAGTCCGAATAATGTGAATAGTATGCATAATACTTCATCTCAGAAATATAGACGGACAAATTGCTTGGTTGCCAACAAAAAGAGGCCAACATGCAAATTATAAATTGGAGACGGCAAATTCAAGCAAGCACAACAATTTAAATGTCTAAAACAGAGGACGGAAAGTGTGTCACCGAAATCCGAAGGTGCATTACGATAGCGAATGATGCCTTCCAAAAGCTAAGTAAAGTATTAAGAAAGCGAAAAATCTCGTTAGAAACAATGAGTACTCAGCTGCTGTGTAATATCGGTTCTCCTTTATATGAGTAAATGCTAGGCAATCTCCTCACAGATGAAGTCGAAACTTGAGGCAACAGAAATATGGTTCTACAGAAGCATACTGAGAATACCGTGGACTGAACATGTGAGCAGCATCGAAGTTTTTGAGAAAATGCAATCTAAAAGGACACTTATACTTAACAGTAGAAAGATACAATTGAAATTTCTAGGGCACATATTGAGGAAAGGTGACTTAGAAAATTTGATACACACAGGACATAGTGAAGGCAAGGTGAATAGGCAGAAAGCAGCGCATAACCTACCTAAGGAGCTTGGCTGGCAGAACAGGAATTCGGAGAGAGATCGAAAAGAGAAAATTTACTAAGTGATACAAAGGACAAGAAATTGTGAAGAGCGATGGTCGCCTAAGTCCCGGAGGGACATGGCACATAGCAGTCATTTTGTAGTTCCTATTCTCCTTTATACTTCCTCATTTATCCCATACACTGTCCATGGCATTCGCAACATTTGTTGGTAAAACTACACCTCTGTTCCTTCAAGTCTTTTATTCATCCATGAGGATATTGTTCAATAGTCATTGCTGCATAGGAGAATAAACATTGCATAATATTTCAGCTCTCTAAGGACTTTTATTGATTCCTTAATACATTTGTAGCGAGTTGGTTCCCCTGGTATAGATCATTGGACGCAGAAAAGTTACAGCAGCAGCAGTTAGTAGTAACAACAGCCATCATCATCAGTTGCAGTAGTAGCAGTATCATAAACACATGCTCTCGAAGAAACTTCCTTTTTCTTCCTTTCTTTTCCTTCACACGGATTATATCTCTACAACATAACACTTTAAGTAATACTATTCTTGCTTCAAATGTAGACACGAGGACTCTCTGGTCAACGAAAGGCGCCCTTTTCAGCAATCAAATTTTTGTGGTTTTTATTCTTATGGAATAAAAGTTTTATGAAATTTCAGCCTGTCATGCATTTTGCATTCGTTCTGAATCGTTTTCTTGAACACATTGATTTGTATTGGTCCCTAGCAATATAACTTAACTTTTGCACACGTACACACACACACAGACACGCACACAGATACACATACACACACAAATATATATATATATATATATATATATATATATATATATATATATATATATATATATATATATATACCGCATGTAACAGTAAAATTGTCCAAATCGTGTAACAGCATAATTGACTATCTCATAAAATGTTTAATATCTAAAAACCACTAAACTAATTGGGTTTCTTTTTTTTCCAGCTTTTCGGATAAAACGTTTAGCACCTGAGAGATGAGTTTCAGCTATAACAGTTCAAAAAGCAGTGAAAAACACCTTGAAAATGAAATCGTAAGTGAAACATGCGAGGAAACGTGTTACTCCAAGACAGAAAAGTAGAAGGACGAAGATGATCTTGAATAAGTTGGAAAATGATCATCGAAGAATATATATATATATATATATATATATATATATATATGAACTTTATTTCAATGTTTCTCCATCTTCCGATTCTTTGCTATGATTAATTAATAATGAACATGCCACTTTCGCTTATGATCGATTTCATCACGATTCTTTTGTTAAGTTTGGAGTGGAATTATACATTCTTATTGCTCAATATAGAGCCCAATAGTGTTATAAAAAACCTCGGAGAGTTCCAGTAAGATATCTTTAATCATTTCGAAGATACAATGGTTCAAAACTTAATCTAACAAATAAACAATTTTGCTGTGATACGATTTGGCCAATTTTTCCGTAACACCTGGTGCATATATATATATATATAAGTGCAGTACTAAATTTGCTGGCAAGGCGTCATCAATTTACAGTTAAAATGGCTAGATATAGCCGTAAGTTCTATGCTAACAGTTTCTTCTCTCGGACTTCTTACTTGTGGAGCTCTCTACCGGATTCTTACTATCCAGTCAACTTTGATCTTCAAAAATTTGAATGCAATGTCAATCGTTATCTTGTCTTATTAATTTTTATTTTTTTTATTGTCCTTTCTCCATAATAGTATTTTTCTCATATTCTCTTACACACACTACTCCCTTGCATCTTAGCGGCATTATTGCCTTACTTGGGGTGAAATGATTAGAACATTGAAATGTTTGGTGCAGCACAGGATGATTTCCTTCTGCTATCTGTCTTTGTACCATTTATGGGCTCAGAGTGCTTAAGTTGAACAGTACCATTTTTTCTTTATGTGCCGTGTCCCTTCGTAGGCGATCATGGCTCTCCACAATTTTCTGTCTCTTGCAGCTTCTAAATAAATTCTGTCTTTTCTTTATGTCTAAACTTTGATCTGCTATCCATTTCCTCAAGTTCACCAAGTATATTATGCCTTGTTTTCCTCATCCCCCTCTTGCCCTCAATCTGTCCTGTGAGTGTCAGATTTTCCAAGCCCTCCTTCCTCATTATGTGCCCCAGAAATTTCAACTTTCTCTTCCTGATGTAAAGTATAAGCTTTATTTTTGTTTACATTTATTCTAAAATCTCATCATTGCTCACATATTAAGTCCATAGTATTCTCAGCATCTTTCTGTAGAACTATATTTCTGTTTCCCTTCATTGAGGAAAGTATCATTCCTTCACCCTAGAAGACTAACCATCAATTAAAGTTACACCACTACTAATCATGGGGATATCATACCAGATTTTGAAAATATCAAAAATTAAATATAAATCTTTATTTGAAATATTTTACATGCGGGCACTTCAAACTTTGTACTTTGAGTTAACATTAATAGGAACAGAAAAACATGTTATTTAGGTAAGAAAATCAGGTACTGAAAATTGTAATTAAAAACAGGAAAATTTGTGTTGGGTACTATATACCCATGGTTAGTGTTCTACGGTTAAGATTACACGGATTGTTTAATTGGTTATGGACTAATTATACAACGAATTCGTCACACACACATATATAGGCATTTAGTGTAGATGTCAAAAATGTCGCTTGCTATAGTGTTGCTTTTACGTAAAGATGGTGGTTTGTTCCTGTAATCTTGGAATTCAAAGTCGGGGGAAAAAGTTTCCTTAGGTTACTGTAGTTTAGAATTGCGGACAGTATGGACGGAGACATGAATCAACTCCTTGA